TAACCAAAATATCACCCAAGTGGTGGAAGTAGTGACCGACTTTGAGAAGCGCACTCGCCTTCTTAAGCACTTGGAACAAATCTCTAACGAAAATGGCAAAGTTCTTATCTTCGTCGCTACGAAGCGTGTCGCGGACGACATTACCAAGTATCTTCGTCAGGATGGTTGGCCAGCACTTGCAATTCACGGTGACAAGGAGCAACGCGAACGTGACTGGGTATTGGGTGAATTCAAGGCCGGAAGAAGTCCTATTCTTATTGCTACTGATGTGGCAAGTCGTGGTTTAGGTATGTCTCATTCTTTTTTGTCTATGTGAGCGAGTGTTGCGGTGGTGGTTGTCTGCGTGGGAGGAGTCTCCTCAGTTGGTGGAGGGACTCGGGTCCTTGATAACTTGAACTCTTTCCCTCCGAGCTTCAAGCGTCCCTGCAAAACCGATATACGCAACCCCCTTCCGACCAGACAAACAAGATCTCGCCTTGCAGAACAACAAGCTGGTATGGTACGACGACGTCAGCTCTCACCACAGTAAGCAACGGTAATTCGGTTTACGATTTGTCTTGGGTTTGCGTGTATCGATGGACTTGATCGCTTTGGATGGACCGTTTTCAGATCACTAGCAGACAACTCTACAGGCTACATAGTTGGTATAAGGGGCTCTATGCGCGACGGAACCGTTGGGGTGGTTAAGTACCTCTCTTTATGAACCTTGGTCTGGACTTTTGGACTTTGCACGCAAACGTCAGAACATTTCTGTTCGTCCATTGATCCCGAGGTCTCCACATTCCTTATTCCGATCGTCTCCGCTAAAGTTGCTAGTACCAGTAACTGTTAGCCTCAATTGACGTACGCGGTGAGGTTTATGAGAGAGGGTGTATTGTCCCGTTGGTTTCGTAGTCTGCCCTTTACCTGATTATGGGAGGATTTCCTCGTTCGCGTCGTTGTTCGAGCATTTAATGGACATGCGGACGAACTTTGGCTATTTCCCACTCTCGCTCCCATATATTCCTATTCCTTGCCTGCATTTCATGAGTATTGGTTGTTGACTTTGGTTTGTTCATTCTCATTTTCATTCGCTCAGACGTCAAGGATGTCGGATATGTTATTGTAAGTCTTTCTTTATTAGCTTTGGAAGGCAGAATTGCTAACGCGTTTGCCTTATAGAACTATGATTTCCCTAATAACTGCGAAGATTATATCCACCGCATTGGTCGTACAGGAGTAGGTCGCTTTTTTTTTTGAATCAAGCCCAGTGTCTGACGTATTTGCTTTATAGCGCGCTGGAAAGACTGGCACTGCATTCACTTACTTCACTACAGAAAATTCGAAACAGGCGACAGAGCTCGTCGCCATCCTTCGAGACGCCAAACAAGATGTCCCACCACAGCTTCAGGAGATGTCCCGCTACGGCGGAGGTGGTGGTAAGAACAGATACGGTGGCGGTGGAGGCGGTGGATATGGAGGAGGAGGAAGGGGTGGCAGAGGAGGAGGTCGCGGCGGTGGACGAGGTTATGGAGGAGGCGGAGGCTACAATCGCGGCGGTGGTGGTGGTGGCGGCGGCGGAGGAGGCGGTGGATATCATGACTCTTGGTAAACGATACCAGATGTCCAAATATCCTAGCGCCATGATTAGTGATGAATCCTACGCTCCTTTTGAAGCCTCTGCCTCTTCTTGGACGACTTTTACTTATATCGTGCCCGGTATGCGATACTTTACCTTAAAGCTCTTCATTGTTATAGACCAAAATCCCCACGAATATCAGAACATTCACAAGTTATTGGGACTGCGTACTAAGCAAAAGGTAGCCGTTCATTGGGATACAAGGTATCGGTTGATAATTGTAACGCGATTGTAGCCTCCGCCTCCTCCATAACCTCGTCCACCGCCG